GGGCGGCTCGGGGGCCGAGGCCTGGTGAACGCGGGTCACGTGTGCGACGGGGCCAGAGGCGTGGGCAGGACCCGGGACCCCCTACCCCCCAACTGCCCCCTACTCCCACCCGTGCGTCTCTGCCCCCCAGGGAGGAACATGCAGCTGCTGCGGGTGCGAGGGGCACAGCTGCAGGAGGCGCGGGGCGGCGCAGGCGGTGTCCCAGCATGCCCTGGGGCGGGGGTCGCCCCCCCTGACCCCCACTGAGGGCTCCCTGCCCCAACCCCTGGACCACTTCGACCGGCTCGAGCTTCGCACCTTCCCCCAGGTGAGAGCCCGTGGGGGGCGGGGGGACCTGCCTGGCCTGGCCCAGGGTTGCTGGGCACATGCGTGTGTATGCACATGTATGTGCATGGGTGCCTCAGGTGTCTGCCCACGCATGTGGCAGAGTGGGTGCAAAGCAAGGAGCCAAGCGGCTGGGAGGGGAGGTGGGGGTAGGATGGGAGCCCGGATGCCTGGGTTCTGTCGGCAGGCTGCTGCCGGCACACACGTGTGTGCACAGCCCTGTGTGAGCGCAAGCCAGGCTGCTGGGAAGATGCATGTGCACATGTATTGGCACACACATGTGTGAGCACAGAAGCACCCCCGCCCCGTGCAAGCATGTGCCAAGCTGCTGGGAAGACCCTAGCGTGTTCACACACTTGCACCCGGATGCCTGGGTTCTGTCGGCAGGCTGCTGCCGGCACACACGTGTGTGCACAGCCCTGTGTGAGCGCAAGCCAGGCTGCTGGGAAGATGCATGTGCACATGTATTGGCACACACATGTGTGAGCACAGAAGCACCCCCGCCCCGTGCAAGCATGTGCCAAGCTGCTGGGAAGACCCTAGCGTGTTCACACACTTGCATGCATGTACGAACACACAAGCACCCTCCCTTTGCAAGTGTGCCATGCTGCTGGGAAGACAGATGTGTGCTCACACACTTGTGTGCATGTGCAAACGCACAAGCATCCCCTGCTTTGCAAGTGCGCTGGGAAGATGCAAATACATGCACACATACACACGTGTGAGCACACTACTCTGGTGCAAGCATGTGCTGGGGGCACACACTGGCCTACACACACATATGGGCACACCCCCACCCCATACGGGCACATGCCAGGGTGCTGGGGGACACGTGTGCGTGCACCCCCCCCCCCGCACATGCCTGGAGGCAATCCCTATACAAGTGTGGGCTCAGCTGCTGGGGACCCGCGTGTGTATGTGCACGCCCACACACGTGTACCACACACACGCACTGGAGACCGACACCCCCAGCTGCCCCTGTCTCCCTGCAGCGGTTCTGGGTCAACACTGAGTTCTGGCGCCGCCCGGACGGGCCCGTGTTCCTCTACGTCGGCGGCGAGAGCGCCCTGTCCCCCTTCTCCGTGCTTGCAGGTGAGGGGGGGGTTGGAGGGGCCCCCCTGGGCCCGATCCGGGGGTACCAAGCGGCTCAGAGGGGGGCAGGGTGGGAATGGGGGTTGGGGCCCTTCCTGGGTGGTGTTACACTCAGCCGTCATCCCCTGCTCCACCCCAGAACTGGCTGCATCGTGGGCCTGGCAAGAGCTGGGATGGGGGGGACTGATCCGGGGGCACCACACGGCTCAGAGCGGGGTGGGGAGGAAGCGGGCAGGGGACCGACTTGGGCAGTGTTACACTCAGCCGTCACCCGCTGCCCCACCCCGGAGCTGGTCGCCTTGTGGCCCTGGTGTGGG